ACCGCAGCCGCCGAGGGCTTAAAATGGCCGAGCAGCCCCCAGCTGGCAGCAATTAAGTACACCACAGACCTCTGGCTAAACAAAGGTTTGTGGCGTCAGAGTTGCTGCATATGCACTAGGCAGACTGGTGTTGTAAACTACCTTTCATGTCCAGGTTAGTTAGCAAGAGGCGCTGTCAGCTGCCGAGAGGTGAGTGGGCGGAGTGTTGCCAACTCTTGTTTAATGATCTGTTATCCGCAGGATGTAGTGCCAGACCTGCCCTAGAAGCAGCCTGTCTGGACAGTAGAGGTGAGGGTGAGGAGAGGTGAGGGAGAGGGGAGGTCCCGGGGGGTCCCCCAGCGGTGGGCCTGAGAGCTTGGCAGGGATCTTTCAGTTCTGGTGCCCATGGGCAGGCGCCAGCCACTCCGCCTTTTTATTGGACACCATTTCCATTTAGGTAGAGCAGAGAGGGTGGGAATGAGAGGACAGTAAGGTGCCATTTTATACCCATTCGTGCAGCAGAAAGCTGGTGGTGATGTGGTGATGTGAGGCACACTTACTTCCATCTCCCATAGTCCATGGCTATATAAGATGTGGGCTCCAAGGCTCAGGTCCAGAGCGCAGCACCTTTCCTTGGCCTGTTGGGCTCCCCGGGTCCCATCAGAGGAGGTTAGGGCTCGGAGTAAGTTTCCTCTCTTGGGGGCATGTTTTTCCCACTTTAATGGAAGATCGTTTCTTCCGAGGGAAGTGCCTGTGTTAGCGGGGGCATAGCTTCATGACTTTGCCTCCAGGCTCCTCCTTTGCTTTGAAGATCAGTGAACGGGACAGACCCACCCCCAGCCCTTTCCATCAGGAGTTGGGATTCTAGCACTTGGATTTTCATTTTTGCCCTTTGACTTTGGCTCGCGTGAATTGCGCGTACTCCGCGGGAGCCGTCTTTAACTCGGTTCATATAGATTTGCGGTGGAGTGCGGGAAACGTGTAAACTCGGGCCGATTGTAACTGCGTATTACCAAATATTTGTTTGTAATCCACCCTTTTGGTGGATGGAACAAAACCAAAAGACAGAGCCATCTTATATTTTGGCGGGAAATTCACCCGCACTCCAAGTGCTAGCTGGTTTTCATTTTGCCTTGACTTTGTAGACTGTCAGAGCCCAGACTCCAGTCTTCTAGCTCTCCACCAATTTGCATGTCACCTTTCCTTTCTTAGTTCAATAGTCACAGTGGCCCTATCCCTGCCCCCACCCACAAACACATTCATTTATTTACTCATCTAAGGTGCGTTGCTTCTCCCCCGTGAATCAGGCTCTGTTCTAGTTCCCAGGCGAGAAGGAACGAGACAAAATCCTCTTCTCATGGCGCTTACACTCCAGATGGGGTGCCATGCAGGGAGCAAATATTTGCTCTAAGTGAGATGTGAAGCAAATGTGCTTTGAGCACGTGACTGACTGATCTAACTTGCATTCTGAAAGGGTCATTCCCATCGCTATGAGGAGAGTGGAACCGGGTGGAAATAGAATAAGGTGTAAGGTTATTGTAATAATCCGTTACCAATCCAGAGGTCATCATCAGTTGTGACAGAGATGGAGGGATGTTGGATCAGGGATGTAGATGGACATCGAGCCTGCAGAGCTCCCGATGGGTTGGGGAAGATGCTGAAAGGCGGTGAGGAACAGGCCCCGTCACATCTCTCTTGGAGGGGCCTCTGAGCTTCTGCCCCAATAGCCAGACCTCTCCCAGGAGCTTCCTGGGGACAGAATGGTCGTACCCTCGTGGGGAACAGACACTTGGCAGTGTTGGGAGTGGCGGTGGGTGTTTCACTAGGTGGGGGCGAGAACGGGGTTCTGCTGCCAGGAAAGCCCACCTCGCTCCCTCCCTTGGTTTCCTTACGCGTCCTGATGGCTGCGTCCTCACCAGCAGTTGCCCACCTCTCCGCCGATGGGTCAGCAGCAGCCGCTCCGCTGCCCTCCACCCTTCAGTCACTAGTTGGGATCTAACCAGCCAGCAGGAGGCCTGAGTCTTGAAGAAGAAGGCATGAGACTATGGCTAGTGGGAGTGTATGATATAAATAAAATCACCTTTTACCCATTCCTTTAGCACAGACTGTAGGGACTACTTTACAGTCTCTTTACATCACTCTGGAAGAGCACAACTAGTAGTTCTTAGGGCACTCTTATTCGTGAGCTTTCAAAAAATCCTCGCTGGATTTCTGGCTTTCCAGCACAGCAAAACAGCATCCCCCAGGTGTGCTTCGGACGTCCTGGCCTGGTGAGTGGAGTGGAGTGCAGGCCTGTCCAGGAGGCTTTGCACTTGCCCCAGGTTTGCAGGTAGCCTATTGCGTGGCCAGTGGCAACTTGCTGACTCTCTGCCCATATCATGACCCCAGTTGGCCCCCTGGGGCACTCATCGCCCTTGCAAGGACCTGGTTCTGAAGCGCCAACTCGGGGTGCAAGCCTGTGCCTCTTTTCGATGTGTCTAGAGGGGTGTTGTGCTTTGGTGGAATCCAGGAACAAATAATGAAAAGTACAGCAAGTACAAGGCCGCGGACAGACCCGGCGCACTCTTATCAGTCATCTGAAATATGCACAGCCTTTCCAAGACAAATACGGACTCCTGTTTCTAGGAAAACACCAAAAAGCACTTATCAGTTATCCTGTATGTGGTTTGTGGACAAAGACAACATCACTGCCCGAAAGCCATAGCAAAGCAGATTCCTTCGGGCAGCCGACAGCTGAGTGGCCTGAGTGAGAGCCACTGCAGGACCCGGGCTGTGGCCTGGGGCCCGTCCACGGAGCCTTTCTTCCTCCTCACGTGGTTCCTGGGCCCCTCACCCTGTCCCCAGGCAGCTGAGCGCATCGTAGAAGAAATCCAGCAGCTGGGCACATGCTTTTAAATGCCCACAGTCCCTCACCCTTCTTCCCCACCCTGAAAGTCTGGAGGTGCCCGGATCGAAGTCCAGCAGTGATGACCACAGCAGGCACAGCCACCTCTGGTGAACAGCCACATTCTGTCAGGCACAGGCGTGTCGGGCATTATTTTATTTGATTTTACAGAGAAAATGAACCGAGGGTTAAAGAAGTTAACCGACTTGTCCATTTTCACATAGCTAGGAGAAGGCGAAGGAAGGTTCTAATTCAAAATTGGTGTCTTTAACCCCAATCTCATTGTGCATCACAGCGAATACTGTGGTTTAATTCCAGTCACTAAACGTAGAGTGTGTGTTGTGGTAAGTAGTGGGTTTGTCTTAGATGAAGCTGGGAAATCATTCTAACACCTAACCTCTGCTTTTTGTCCCTTTCCCCACGTAGGACGCAGGCGCAGAGGGTGCGGAAGCCGCGGTGCTGCACGGGGCCCCAGGGGCTGCTCCCCCGCTACTCGGAGAGCCAGGCCGAAGGGCAGGAGCAGCTCTTCAAGCTGACGGACAACATACAGGACGAGTTGTAAGTGGGGAGCCGGCCCTGTTGGTTGCCGAGTTGTCTTTTCTGTCTCGGAGTCTGAGACGTTCCCATCTGACCCGAGTATCATCATGACTCTTAGACCTTGGAACTGGTCAGAGATTCCTGGGCCCAAATGTTTTAGAGGTTCAGATAAGCCGCTTGAAAACAGCCTTTTTCTTAAAGCTGTGCTTCTCAAACTGAGTTTCAGAGTGGGGCCTTCATGTTTTATTTCTAGAAAGTGGCAGTTTCTTTCTAGATCAAAGAGAGATGATAATAAAATACTCTCAATTTTACAGGGTTTTTTCCAAAACCCTGTAAAATTGTCTTAAACTTTAGTGTTCTAGTGTTTGCTGCTGAAAGCTAGTGAAGCAAAGCAGATAAACCAATACTAACTAGTAGCTGAAAATTTGGGGAATGCAATTTTCTTAGGATTTTTTTGTTTCTCTTTGAATGAGGAGCCTTCTATTCCTGGGCTCTTGTAGTATTTTAAACTAGTGAAATTATCCCGTGTTGATAGGATAGAATTCAGTATATCAGTATTTTAGGGTATTCTGTGGGGACTTTTGATATAATAATGCTCACTAGCCTAAGTAAGTGTTAGAGCCACCAGCCCAGAGAAAGCAGTTAGTTATGCCTGATGAGTAGCAAATGCTAGTTTAATTTCTTTTATTTATTTTTTATCCTTACCCAGGGATATGTTTATTGATTTGAGAAAGAGAGAGAGAGAGAGAGAAACATTGGTCAGTTGCCTCATATAGATGCCCCAATGGGGAATCGAACCCACAACCTAGGTATGTGCCCTGACTGGGAATAGAACCACAGTCTTTTCGGTGTACGGATGACACTCCAAACAGCTGAGCCCCCGGCCAGCGCTAGTTTAATTTCTTTCAATGGTTATGTATCACTTTAAGATAAAGCAAACGAGGGAAGTTTCTGAGGGCTCTGGCTGCTTTTGGGTTGGTGGAGAAGTGTCCGAAGTAGAGGGTAACCTTCAGTGTCATTAGTAGAGACAGTGGTGAACTGACTCCATCTCGTATTTCTGTAGCAGCATTTGAATGGGGGCATCAGCAGTCAAATCCAGAATCCATTTGTTGCCAGCTGGATAGGATGGCGCCTCCCTGGATGTGTTTGGTGTTACCCGCACCCTCTGCAGTGTTCCTGGAAGGGCTCTTGATGGAGGTGCATTACATTGTCTCAGTCAGCTCCAGCTGCTGTAACAAAACACCGTAGACAGAGTGGCTTAAACAACAAAATTTATTTTCTTATAGTTTGGGACATTGGGAAGTCCAAGGTCAAGGTGATGCCTGATTTCGTTACTGGTGAAGGCTCTCTTCTTGGCTTGCAGGTGGCCACCTTCTTGCTGTGTCCTCACATGGCACAAGAAAGAGAGTGAGATCTCTGTCTGGTGTCTCTCATAAGAACACTAATCCTGTAGGATCAGGGCCTCACCCTTAGGACTTCATTTGACCTTAATTACTTTCATACTCCAAACAGTCACATTGGGGTGAGGGCTCCAACATCGGAAATGAAGGGGGACTTAATTCAGTCCATGGCAGGCGTCATTTGTACATTCTGTTCTTTTAGTCCAGCCTCAGCCCTGGCCATCACTCCAGTATCCAGAATCCTAATGGGGTCTCACTCCAGGGATGACTGTATATTCCTGCTTCCTTGTGGTGAGGATTTGGTGACGTGACTGCTCTTTATGCCACTTTTTAAAATATATATATATTTTTTTTATTGATTTCAGAGAGGAAGGGAGAGAGAGAAACATCAATCATTGATCCTCCTGCACACTCCACACTGGGGATCAAGCCTGCAACTCAGGCATTGTGCCCTGACCAGGAATCGAACCGTGACTTCCTGGTTCATAGGTCAATGCGCAACCACTGAGCCACGCTGGTCAGGTTATGCCACTTTTCTGGTGGGACTTTTGGCCTTTGGATAGAAGGCCCAGAAGTCATCCTTCAGGTTCAACCTGGCAAGGGCAGAGTCTGCTAGAATGGTGACCCCAGGAGGGCAGGGAGCTGTGTCTGTTCCATTCTCGGAAGAGCCCTCAGCACCTAGAACAGTGCCTGGCACGTCATGGGCACTCAGGAAATGTTTGTGTAGCTGCAGTTTAACATTATATTAATGTTCCTTTTTCCTTCTTTGGAGCGGTATCAAAGGTTGAGATTATAAATTACTGTACATTGTGCATTTAATTCCATCTCTAGTCCTTGCGAAATTCATTTTCGGTAGAATGACATGTGCCAGAAGCTTAGGGAGAAAGTGAGCCGCACCCCCTGAGAACAGCCGTGGCAAACTGAAAACGGGAATCCGAGTGGAGTCGCTAAAATAGATTTCCTGAAACTCTTGAAGTTCATGTGAACTGGGGAAAGAGATTGGCATGAGTGAAGTTTGACTAAAGATGAAAACCACGTGTCTCGACGCACGTGGGGTAAATCTCGCCGGTGAGTGTGGAAGGAGGCAGGTGCCCACGGCCTTCCTCCGTGTGCGAGGAGGAGTCGCCAGGGACTCAGCGGTGTTTCTCTGATGGGTCCTCAGCTGCCAGGCAGGGTCCTCCCGGCGACATGAGCATTAGAATCGTCACTTTGCAAGAAAGGGTTTTCAGGAAAAGCACACGAGTGCCAATTATACCTCTGACTTTTATCCTAGAATTGTAATTAAGAACATGTTTACAGACCTAATTATTTGCATATTTTCCTTCAGAGTTAACCCCTTAAAAGGATCTTTAATACCTTGCTCTACTGTTCTAACTAAATGTTTCCACATTTTTTTCCAGTTAGACTCACTGTTTCACTTCTGGAAAATATTGTGTAATTACTTCCTGATGCAGCGAAAACCCCACAAAGTCCCAGTGCCATGGTTACTTCAACTTTGTGCTCCCAGATCAAGTTTCATCCCATTTTTTTTTTCATTTTATTTAATTAATTAGTATTAAAAAGATAGTTACTGACATGCGACTGAAGGTCTGGCCAGCTGCGGAGGCTTTAGTTTCGAATGAATCGAATATTTCTCTGGTATGTTGCAGAATTACCATTGCTTCCCATTTTTCTCAATTTGGGTTTTGAAATAGGATCCCTCTGGCTTAAGCTGATGTCAAAGTAAAATTTGTCCTATCTGATTAAATTGATTTTTCTTTATGACTGGTGTCTATCTGTAGCCAGGAACCTCATTTTCTTTTTTAAAAAAAATAATAAAAGTGACTATTTTATTTCCAATCCTTCATCGCAGACCAAGTTACGTACAGAAAAAATATAAAAAATAAAACAAATATAGCCTATAGATCCACCAATGAGCCAAGTCCTTTCTCTTTTTGATGAAATAAACTCATGCATGGTTAGCAAGTTCAGAGAGCACAGGAAGAAATAAAACCCAGAGTAAACTTCTCCCCCCTTACCCTCTTTGTAAACGTAATGTTTAGGTATTTGTGTCTCGCCTGTCCTTGAGCTGCTGCAGATAGAGAGAGAGAAAGCAGGAAGATCTGTTTGAGCACAGGTCATATCGTTGTATGTGAAAAACAATAAATAATAAAATACAAAACCTCATAGCCACAAACCCGCACGGGTCCTTGTGGAGGAGAGGACATACGCCAGCGTCTTCCCTTTCTAAACCAGGAAAATAATCTATCATATAGCATTGACACCTAGGGAATTGACATG